TTGCCACTGAAGAAACTGAAAGAATAAAATACAATGAAGAGATAAAGCTTAACAGTCAATATTTTCATCATGTGTTCATCATGTTTTAGTTCACTAGTCCACTGGTTAACTAGTCCAGTGGTTAACTAATCCACTGGTCCAAAGGGCCTCATCCTCTAGGATGCGGCCCCTGAATTGGGACACAGTTGGTGAGTGACAGTGAACGCATCATCCTCTAAGAGAGAGTGGGTGTGATCTGTGATCTGTGCCCAGTCAGCTCCTCTCACTGATGCCCCCTCAACCCTCACAGCTCAGTGGCCAACAGATAAGACTGTGGTTGCACCGCTCACAGAGGACCCCCCCCCCCCCACCCCCCCAGGAGCCAGTAACATGTAAGTGTTATCAGGAGAAAACTGTCTCTACCAAATGTCAAATGTTAAGAGGAGCAGTAAACGTCCCTCAAACAGCTTTAACACCATGACAATGACTCTAGTTTTATTATGGGGGGGGGGGGATAAGAGAGAGAGAGAGAGACAGAGAGAGAGAGAGAGACAGACAGAGAGACAGAGACAGACAGAGAGAGAGAGAGACAGAGAGAGAGAGAGAGACAGAGAGAGAGCGAGAGAAAGAGACAGAGAAAGAGAGAGAGAGAGAGAGACAGACAGAGAGAGAGACAGAGAGAAAGAGAGAGAGAGAGAGAGAGACAGACAGACAGAGAGACAGAGAGAGAGAGAGAGAAAGAGAGAGAGAGAGAGAGCTGTCTAATTAAAGCAGACGGACAGACACACTGCAAGATGAAGAGTCCTAATAAGGACAGATCATGGCAGAGGACACACACACACACACACACACACACACACAGTCACTCGGTCAGTCAGTCAGTCAGTCAGTCAGTAAACAGCAGTGTACTTCAGTCACATAGAGGGGGTTCTACGGGATCACAATGGGTCTATTGAAGAACCAGAACCTGAGACTGGCTCTGCTGGATCAGGTCCAGTGGTGACATCGTTCTACTGTATGTGTGTATGAAACCTCAGTACTACAGACTGGGCCTGGTACAAAGACACATATGTGATATACAGTGGTATGAAAAAGTTTAGGCCCTCCTCTGAGGCTGCGTAATAATTTACTCCGTCTTCACAGGAAATGATCACAGTGACATGCCATTCATTTTCTAATAAAAGCTGAGTACTGGGGTATTTTCCAGACAAAGATTTTTAGTGTAGCAATATCAAGTTGTATGAAATCAAATCAGACGTGAAAAATAGGCTGTGCAAAAATTTGGGCACCCTTATCATTTTTTTGATTTGAATACCTGTAACTACTTAGCACTGATTAACTGGAACACAATGGTTTGGTGAGATCATTACGCCTTGAACTTCATAGACAGGTGCATCCAATCATGAGAAAAGGTATTTAAGGTGGCCATTGCAAGTTGTTCTTCTCTTTGACTCTCCTCTGAAGAGCGGCAACATGGGGGCCTCAAAACAACTCTCACATGACCTGAAAACAAAGACTGTTCAACATTATGGTTCAGGGGAAGGCTACGAAAAGCTATCTCAGAGATTTCAGCTGTCAGTTTCCACTGTGAGGAACATAGTGAGGAAATGGAAGACCACAGGCACAGTTCTTGTTCAGGCCAGAAGTGGCAGGCCAAGAAAAATATCGGAGAGGCGAAGGCGAAGGATGGTGAGAACGGTCAGAGACGACCCACAGACCACCTCCAAAGACCTACAACATCATCGTGCTGCAGATGGTGTCACTGTGCATCGTTCAACAACTCAGCGCACCTTGCACAAGGAGAAGCTGTATGGGAGAGTGATGCGGAAGAAGCCTTTTCTGCAAACACGCCACAAACAGAGTCGCTTGAGGTTTGCAAAAGCACATTTGGACAAGCCAGCTTCGTTTTGGAACAAGGTGCTGTGGACTGATGAAACAAAGATTGAGTTATTTGGTCATAACAAGGGGCGTTATGCATGGCGGCGAAAGAACACAGCATTCCAAGAAAAACACTTGTACCCACAGTAAAATTTGGTGCAGGTCCCATCATGCAGTGGGGCTGTGTGGCCAGTGCCGGTACTGGGAAGCTTGTTAAAGTTGAGGGTCGCATGGATTCCACTCAATATCAGCAGATTCTTGAGAATAATGTTCAAGAGTCGGTCACAAAGCTGAAGTTACGCCAGGGCTGGATATTTCAACAAGACGACGACTCAAAACACTGCTCAAAATCTACTGAGGCATTCATGCAGAGGAACAAGTACAATGTTCTGGAATGGCCATCCCAGTCCCCAGACCTGAACATCATTGAAAATCCAGGGGATGATTTGAAGCGGACTGTCCATGCTCGGCAACCATCAAACCTAACTGAACTGGAGATGTTTTGTAAAGAGGAATGGTCCAAAATACCTTCATCCAGAATCCAGACACTCATTAGAGGCTATAGGAAGCGTCTACAGGCTGGTATCTTTGCAAAAGGAGGCTCGACTGAATATCGATGTGATTTTTCTGTTGGGGTGCCCAAATTTATGCACCTGTTTAATTTTGTTTTGATGCATATTGCACATTTTCTGTTAATCCAATAAACCTCATTTCACTCCTGAAATATTGCTGTGTCCATCAGTTATTTGATTGATCAAAATGAAATTGCTGATCCAAACACCCAATGATTTATAAATGAAAATAATGGAAATTGTCAGGGGTGCCTAAACTTTTTCATACCAGTGTGTGCGTGTGCGTGTGCGGTGTGTGTGTGTGTGTGTGTGTATATATATATATATACGGAGTTAATGTTAACTTCACCCAAACACATCACGTGGGAGAGTTTGTAATAAATCAAAAAAATCATTCACCTCACAGCGTTCCTCCATAATGTTTGAACTGAACTGGTTCTGAACTGGGACCAGTTCCACACAGACAGACTGACAGTTCTGACTGTGGTGCAATGACTTCTGGGTAAATTAAGAATTTTTGTTTTTTAAATGACTGAGGAACAACATCCAACCTCTGAGCTCAGTTTACCTTCAGCAGAACATGTTTGTGTTCAGGAAGAATTCAACAGCTGCAGGACGTTTTACTGTGGAAACTCAGCGAAGAGCGAAACAATAAAAACAAAAATCTGATTTCTCTAAAAACTCCTTCTCTTCTAATTGCTGGTTCTGAACTGGTTCTAAACTGGTTCTGAACTGGTTCTGAACTGGTTCTGAAGGTGTTAATGAGAATTTGAACACGTACTGACACTCAGCTGATTTTTCTGCACTGAATTTAACAGTTAAAATCATACAGATGTGTTTGAGGTGAGTCAGAATTTAAACCAGTGAGTCACCGGGCCACCCAGCAGCTGGGTCAGTGCTGGATCCAGGCCACTCAGTCAGTCTGCCAGTCGGCCTGTAGGTGGCACATTAACCCACTTGTCCTCCAGTGTTCACTGAAACAAAATGTTCCTCCTCATCAGCTGCTGCAGACTCTGAATGTGGAGCAGCAGGTTGACCGTCGGTCTGTTCCCTGTGGGATGGAGCTGCTGTGGAGACATTGAGGTTACAGTCAGATAAACAGTTTCCATGTGAGGCTGTGATTATTCCTGAAGCATCAACAACAATAAACTCAGAGGAGCAGTTTGTTTATAGGTGAACCTGTAATACAGCTCCATGTTCCCGCCTCATGTCTGTAGACCAGTCTTCATGCAGAGATTATTATTGTACCATGGATAGATTAAAATAATAACGTGTTTTTATAAACAGTGTTAACTCTCAGATGACGCCCCCCCCCCCCATGTCGTATAACAGCCGTGATGTGTTTAAATAGCTCGGTATAAATGAGTGTACTCGGTATGATACTGAGCCCCTCCTCTTACAACACTCTTTGGGGTTTGCTGAGAACTCACGTGAACCGAGGCTGACTCGCACTCTGATTGGCCGACGTGTCTGCACGTGTATCAGCATATCCCTGTCCGTTATATAACGTGCAGAGCACCAGAAGACATGGGAGGAGGGAGGAGGAGGAGAGAGAGGGGGAGGGAGGGAGGGAGGGAGGACTGCGGCTTCTAAGTTCATTCATCCCGATGCAGAGTCCTTTCATCTTTTTACACATTGTTTGTCTTTTAAGCATTTTGTTATTTTGTGTTTTATCTGTGTTACTGTCCATGATGATTTTTTAAATGTTATTAATTTGTTTTTTAGTTTGAAAAATCACCAATTAAATTTTTGAAAGTTGCGCACAAAATATAGTTTAAATAAATCTGTGTGTCGCATAAAAACATATCAAATGTACGTGTTGAGCAGCCTGTGTAACCGGAAGTGTATAAAAGCAGCTGTTTGCGATGTTTATGGTGCCTTAGTGCAGCTCAGTAAAGCTCAGTAAACACGAGGATGAGATGACAGTTGAGGACAGAGGTTGTAGTAGTGAAGTGATAGTAGTAGTAGAGGGAGTGGGAGGGGCGGGTGGACGGATGGTGAAATACTCTGCAAGACCAGAGGACAACGTGGCTCTGAAAGCATCTGCCTGTCTCTCTGTCACAGTACTGCAGACCCGGATCACTCAGACCATCGTCCCTCTGACGGTCTCTGCCATGAGTCACCGCCCCTCTCGATTCTTTTCATGAACTGGTTAAGATAAAAATTAAGGTTTGAATGTGTCTTCCTTTCTCTCGGTTTGAACTGCCGCCCCGAGGCGGACTAACAGGCAAGCAGTGAGACAGGCAGTGAGACAGGCAGTAAGACACCCGGCTTCTCCTCACGATCCACGTGTGTTTCTGTCCCAACTTTTTACCCGCCACCATTTTCCTGGAATCCCGGCCCGCAGAGTATCACTCCGCCGAGAAGTCAACATAGACCCAACTTCAATCTAAAATTACCCAGAGTCGCAGTCGACTCGCTTTTTTCCGCTCGGACTCGATCGACACGTCGACCGACGCTGGTTTTACAGGCGATGGTTTGAATGTCTTTAACCACCTGTTGTGGGTTTTTACGTTTTGGCGCGATTTTTTGTGGCGGAAGGACACCGGGTGAGTCTCAGAGGTATATGATCCGTGAGACCCCGCCGGCCACACCTACTGTGTCTGGTAAAGGAGGAGACCGCGGATCAACACCATGCTGCCGTGCTGTGACTCAGACTTCACACAAAGACACGTTACTGTAGTTTGACGCTCTGTGGACGTTACAGGATATTTGTGCCGTTTCTCTGGTTCTGATCTTCACTGTGAACCGTCGTCTTCTGTCAGGACCGTTAAAGGTAAGGCAGCTGCACGCGCCCGGACTGCGGTTAGCTAATGTTAGCTAAGTAAACTGACACGTTGAGGTTACCTCACCGGGAGTTAACGGAGCTCCTGGACGTTTATTCTTTGTAAGTGAACGTTTCATGTCCGTTGACGTGGGTCACAGAGAGAGTACCGGTCTCACGTGGACTCCCGGCGTCCCTCAGCCCATGCCGGTTTTAAATGGCCCCCGCAGCGTGTTCCCCTTTTCAGCGTCTCTGTTGAACGGAATGTTTCTTCTACACAGAATCGTTGAGTGTTTGGAGCCTAATGGAGGATTTTAGTCGCTGTTGTGAATCAGGTTAAAATGTCCGTTTGTTAAACGGAGTCTGGAGAGTCCGCGGGACCTAACGGCAGAGGCTGAAGCGTCAGCGAGGCTGCGTTCAAGATATCATTCAGAAAGTAGTATTTCTTTTAATGCTCCAGTCAGTCTCCAGTTCCGCACCAGCTGTGCTCAGTCTCCGGTAGAGTGAGTGAAAGGCGTCCGTTAATCAGCATTAACAGTCGGTCAGTGTTGAGCGGGGAGACGTCATCATTAACACATTAATTACTTATTTTTACTGGACTGCATTTAAGGTAGGCTCAGGTTAGAGGCCGTGGTGGTGAAGAAAGACAGCCTGTCTGCACCGCACACACGACGGCTTTGTTCTCCGGCACAGCCCGCTATACACACACACACACACACACACGCACACACACACACTCACTCTCTCTCTCACACTCACACACACACACACACACACACTCTCTCTCTCTCTCTCACACTCACATACACACACACATACCGTAACAACCCATAGGAATATTATAGGAGTTTCTCACTGTACAGGCCCAGCTCTACTGTCCACCTTCAGCTGTGGAAGTAAAAACTAGTCCCGACGCATTTTATAATTTAATATATTTGTATGTTTGTAATAGAGGCAGAAGCTGCGCGCCCTGACCGGGGTATTTTAAGTGATAAGTGCTGAGCAGTGTTTTACTGTCTGTGGAGAAGTTATGTAGATCTGAAGTGTTGAACTGTTGAGCAACAGACACAGTAACATAGAAAGAGGGAAACTCCCTCTTCTGTTTCAGCAGCCGCTGCTTTCATTCACTTTCTCATAAGGAAATATGTAAATTGTGGAAAGAGGTGTAAAGTTTCTGTCTCCCAGCTGTTCTTCTGATGTCATGGGCAGGGGGTGATGCCCCCCCCCAACACACACACACACACACACCCGGGGTGGGGGGGAGCAGCGGGGCGGGGCTACAGTGATGTAAACACAGTTAAAAGGTGGCATGCTGTGGTCGGGTGTCAGTGTGGAGAAACTGGTTTAGACTTTCACTGCTACACGTGCTGCTGCTGGGACTGACCTGGTCCAACAGCGGCTGCCCCTCTGGATTTAAACTCTCAGCTCCACGAACTCTGACCTCTGTGTGTCCTGGTTTTTATTGTTGTTCCAGATTCTACAATCAAACATGTTGCAAAGCTTTGCTCAGTCGCAAGATTGGCTTTACTCGGAGCCGCTGCTCTTTGATGATGAGTTCTGCCAGAGTTTGATGAAGGACCTCCAGTCGCTGCCGACACCCCCCCAGTCCCCCCCCATGAAGGCCGGACTGGGCAGCAGCAAGCCTCTGTCCAAGGAGGACCAGCTGAGCTATGTGTCGGACATCCTGCTGGAGGACCACGACATGCAGCTGAACTGGAACTGCGACTTCTTCCACTCCACCGCCGCAGAGAAGGAGGGCGAGCCCAGCCAGCCCTGCCCCCCCCTGGAGGAGAGCGGCGAGGACTGTCTGTGGCAGTGTCTGACGGCGGACAAGAGTCTGGAGGAGAAGCTGGTGTCCTCGGTGCTCGGCTCCAGCCCCCTGCTGTCTGACATCGACACCAGCATCTTCGAGGAGATCGCCGGATCCACACTGGACTGCCAGAACCTGATGGACACCCAGGAGACCAGCGAGGCCACGTCAGACTACGGGTCAACAGGCGGCGAGCTGTCCACCTACTCCTCCAGTGACTCAGGTGGGTTCAGAGGTCGTCTCTGTAAGTCTGTGGCTCTGATCCAGGATCAGACTTTAGTCTCAGTCCTGCTTGTTATTGTGCAGCTTATCAGTGTCAACAGTCCTCACCCTCTCACTGCTCACCTGTAATCTACCTGTATGAGGTGTGGGTGGGGCTTCAGCTGCTGACTGACATGAGTAGATGAGAGGTTTTAAGGGAGATAATTGACTGTTTGTGTGTGTGACTCATGTTCAGCGAGAGTAGCAGCTTCATCCATTAACAGTAATGAGTCATGTGACTCTGAACCAGAGGAAGTGAGTATTGAACCGTCTGTGTTCATGTTTTAATGTCAGGTTGTATCTTTATCTCAGTTTGTGAATATTAACAATAATTATTATTATAATTAACAACAACAATAATAATAATAATAACAATAATAATATTAATAAAAATAATAATTATTATTATATACATTAAATATTGTAATATTATCAAAATGATTTATGAATGTTTTCAGTCTAATGATGGTTTAAAGGTTTAATTGTAATTAACACATGACTCTGAGCTTCTGCACACGTCTGGATGTTTACATCGGTGTGTGTGTTGTGTCTACACTTGTTTGTGCTCGTCTGAAGGTTGTCACACCTTCACAGGGGAAAGGTTAGAAGTCATGAACCTCTCTAACCATCTTTCCTTTCTCCCACCACAGAAGAAGAGATCGACGTGGTGACAGTCGTCCGCTGTCCCTCCAGTCCCTCCCCTCTGACCCCATTGGCTGACTTGTCTGTCCGTCAGCAGAAACATGAAGAGGAGCAGCGGGCTCTTCAGCGCCACCACATCGAGATCCAGCTGCAACACAACTACGCTGCTCCCTGTCCCGCCTCGCCGCCTCCTTCCTCCTCATCCAACAAGCGCTCGAGAGGGAGCGACGGCTCCTCACGCTTCCACCACTCCTCTCGCAGCTCATCCTCCTCCTCCTCTTCCTCGTCCTCGTCACGGTACCACCACCACCACTCGTCTAGGAACTCGACAGAGACGGAGGATGAGGAGGAGCGACGCCGGACTCACAACGTAATGGAGCGGCAGCGACGCAACGAGCTGAAGAACTGCTTCATGCGCCTGCGAGACAACGTGCCGGAGCTGTCGCACAACGACAAGGCGTCGAAGGTGGTGATCCTGAAGAAGGCCAGAGACTGCATCTACAGCCTGGAGGACGAGGGACACAGGCTGCAGACCAAGAGGGACAGACTGAAAGCCAGGCAGGAGGAGCTGAAGGCCCGGCTGGAGCAGCTGCACAGCTAATGGACCACTGTGTGTGTGTATGTGCTTATGCTTGTACAGAGACAGAGGGATGGGCGTGTCATGCTGAAAAGAACGCACAACGTTTGACATTTTAAATACTTGGTAACGAGGAGTCCGAACCGGACTCAAACACATCACACTCATCATTCTCAGGCCGACTGCTGACTGTTAGAGCAGAGGAGACAAGGAGAAGAGGACAGATGTGGAGGAGATGAGGACGGAGAGAGCGGGTGTTTGGCTGGACACACACTGACAGGACCAGGTCTCCAGGACTTGGTGGGTCAAATACCTGGAAGCCTCAGCAGCTGAATGAAACTTGAATATTGTGTTTTCAGGATGTCTTGTAGCCATAGCAACCAGTAATCCCTCCTCTCTGCCAGGTGTTTCAGGTTCAGGTGAATGTTCGTCAGTGTGTGTCCAGCTCAGGTTCATGTGTTATTGATGATACTGTATTGATCAGGTTGGATATTGTTCACAGCTCAGTTCACCTCAGCTCTCTCTTACCTCTGTGTTCAAGTGTTTGTCCGTGACGAGTCGCCTTGGTAACCAGCCTTCAGGTTCTGAGGGACTGAGCTGGAAGGAGAACTGGACTGAGCCGGACTCGCAGTCAGACAGGAACCTCTGTTTTATTTCCAGGCTCTGGGTGGGGGAAGTTGCAGCAGTGATACTGTGACATGTCGTTGAGCAAAGCGGCCATTTTGAATTACTTAAAACAATTAAATTCCCAGACGACCATTATCCAGTGGACATTACCGAAACATGACAGATGTTAGTCAGTGGCCCTCACCCTGTCTCTGTTCACATGATGATGACGATGATAATGTTGACGACGACGACATCTGAACCGTGTGAAATTAATGAGGGCCACTGACTCTGACCAGCATACCCCTGTTCAGAATCGACCGTCTTAGATGTGAACACATGATGTAACAGTGATGATGTTGGAGGTCAGAGGTCATCTTCAGGTGAATATCTTTGGGCTGGATCTGAAGTTGGATGTTTAATGGATTTTATTCTGAATATTATTATCCACCAATGGTTCCATTAATATACTGTTTTATAATGAAATGAACATACAACACAAGGTTTGTTTGTGTCAAATGTCTTAAAGAAACGTGTTCTTCCTCTACAGTCTGAGTGTACTTGAACACATCGTGGTTGGTAGGAATAATGACATGGAGGTGTTTAATGGTAAAAACCTGCTCTGCCTTGAAATGCATTCAGTTCAGGACTCTGTTTCCTTGTTTGTGTTGCTGTCTGGTTAATTCTTCTTCTTCTTCTTGCTCTTTGTTTCCTGAGGTTTTAACCAGACAGCAGCTTCTTTTTCTCAGCATCATCAAACCTACCTCCACCTGGCTGCAGTCGGGCTCTGTTTTTTATTATTGTACAGATTTTGTAAAATAAATATTTTATGTAAATATTTTTCTTGTATCATAAATTATTTTTGTCTTTTTTTCATTATTTTGAATTTAAGGATTTAAAGATGTTATGGTTTTTACCAAGCAGCACTTTTTTTAATATGATGTAATTAAAAAAATGAATGAGAGTTGGATGTTTGTGTGGTTTATCACACATGCACACACACATGAAAGTGCTGATGACTGATAATATTTAATAATAAATAATAAAAGGACTGAAGGATGTTGATCTAATGAAGCTCTTCATTCATTAGTCAGTTATCAATGATCGAACTTATCAATCACATCCTCACACTAAAGACAGAAGCTCTTAGAGAGGTGGTCTGGAGGACGTGGCCAGGTGTTTATATACCTGTCTGTCCAGACAGACATCACCGTGACAACGTTCCAACCTGTAAGTCAGAAACAACAGGTGTGTAGTTCAGATCAAAATGAAGTTTCAGTTCAAAGAAGGGTGTGGTCGGACGAGTCCTCAGGTGATAATGTAATGACTGATGGTCAGAAGGTGAACATGGAGTGAACTGTAAATAATCTACTTCAGGCCTCAGACCAGTTCCTCGCCGTCAGCCATGTTGATTATTGACTATTGAATCTTTGGGAGTCAACACACCATGTCCCGTTCTCTCCTGTTCTACCTGTTAGTTAGAGATTTCCTGAGAACTCCACAGTCCTCGTTCTCACCTTCACACACCTGTCCCCTCTGGCCCCTCCCTCCCAGGTGTGGAGATATGTGAATGTTTTCTCAGGGCAAAGTATGAGGCAGCAGCAGTGCAACCTGAGAGCCGTCCATGTGTCCCAGTGAGCATTCGGAGCAAGTGGACACGTGCCAGACAGGTGTGTGTGTGTGTGTGTGTGTGTGTGTGTGTGTGTGTGTGTGTGTGTGTGTGTGTGTGTGTTATACTCTCTATGTTATCTTGTTCCTGTGTTTCTGTTTAGGTCCCTTGGCTTCAGCAGACAGACCCTCAGTGTTCGATGTGTTGAGACGTCACAGCAGATGAGCCTTGACATAGAGAGAGAGAGAGAGAGAGAGAGAGAGAGCGAGAGAGAGAGAGACATTTATTCATTTATTTATTTGCTCAAGAAAAAAAATTCAAAAAATAAATCAAACAAAAAACTCCCAAATAAATCAAATCAAATAAATGAAACCCCACTCACTTCAACACACAGAACACAGCTGTTGTTTGAGGCTCCATGTCTTCTTCAACTCTTCCACACTATTTATCAACATAAAGAAACTGAAATCAGTTTTCAGTCTCGCCTTTAGCATCCATTTAAAAATGACCATTACATCAACATCTAACAAGTTTTCAAGCTTGATTTTCCTGCTCAGATAAATTCATTTGTTGTTGGGTTAAGCAAAAAAGAGTTGACATTTCATTTTCTTTCCTGTTGTACCTGAAGCCCAGGATGAACATCTGTTGTGAGAAAACCTCGTCAAACAAACCAAACATCTGGAACAAAAACCCAAACAGAGACAAGAGTCGACCACACTGTAAAAAACGATGAAAAACAGTCTCTGTGCACAGAAGGGACAGGTACTGTCACAACGGTCCTCAGGCCTTAGTGTTTTATGTCTGTCTTGTCATTTCCTGTTTTATTTTGGTAGTTTCCCTCTTGTGTCTTTACTCCCTCCCGTGTGATTACCTGCCTTCTCCCTAATGTGTTTCACCTGTGTCTCGTTATTCCCAACAGTATTTATGCCCTGTGTGTCCCTCTGCACTTCGCCAGTTTGTTTTCTTCCCCAGTGAGTGACTTACCAGCGTTTTCCTGCCACTCGGAGAGAGACCGTCTCTGTGACCCGTTTCCTGAGATCTGCCTGTTCCCTGTCGGTACCGTTGCCTGATTCTGCCTGTCGGTGTTTCGACCCTGCCCGCCTGACCACGTCTCTCAATAAACTGCCTGATTGTTAACTGCCTCTCTGGTTGTGCTTTTGGGTTCAACCTTCGTGTCTTGAGCCTGACAAGTATCAGCAACATCTGGATTAATCACAGCAACAGCACCGTGCAGAACCCTCCACTGTAAATCACCCACCCTCTTTGTTAATGGTGGTTTGTACAGAGCTGCACTCAGGTCTCTGAGCTTCTGTCAAGGCCAGGTGATCCTCCAGGGAGAGTCCACTCCACCTTTCAGCTTGTTCTGGTTTAACAGTTTTACTAGTAGATAGTACATTGTTTTACCCACCATGCTGCTCAGTTTGTAATCAGCAGCATTCACCTTCAACAACAACAAACCACACACCAAAACAGGAACAATGTTCACATCTGGCAGAGGATCAGTAACATCTGGCTGAATCAGTCCGTTACAATAAGCAGCCGTCAGTGACAGTTCAGAGGGAGTCAGCTGCTGTTTCCAGCCTCTCAGGAGGAGACTGATCACCCTGACTGACCTGATCCCCAAACGTGAGGCCAGACCTGCGGCGTTGTCCAGGTGTGGGCCACACACCTCCACCACACGGCCCAGCGTGAGGATCCGGGCCTCACACAGTTTCTGAAGCAGGGTCGGCCCAGCTTCACACCGGAGACGAGTCCCGTGAACCACTGGCTCTTTAAGAAGCCAGAACAAAGAGATACCGGCCTTTGGTCTCTCCTTACGGAACAATCCCCAGACTCTGAAAAGTCCTTTATAAAAACATGGAAGGTTTTCCAACTTACATCCATTAAGATCCATTAAAAACAGCGACTCAGCCGGACCCAGCCCACCACACCGCTCCAGTAAGGCTCGAGCTACAGGTCTCCAGAGCAGGTCAGCAGGTCCAGTCAGGAATCTCTGGATGAACTGGAGCCTGAAAGCAGCCCCCCTGCTCGCCAGGTGGACCAGACCATGTCCCCCTTCCTCCTTGGGCAGAAAGAGGACACTCTGTGGGACCCAGTGCAGACGGTCCCAAAAGAAGTCCACCATAACGGCCTGCACTCTGGGCAGCAGGTTTCCAGGAGGGTCCGTGAGCGCCAGCCGGTGCCACAACATAGAGGACACAAGGTTATTGATGATCAGGATCCGACCTTTAAAAGACAGTTTGGGTAAAATCCACTGCCATTTTTTAAGTCGGCCTTCAACTCTCTCCAGAAGATTCTCCCAGTTTTTAGAAGAGAGGGCTTCATCACCGAGATAAACCCCGAGGTATTTAAATCCTCCTCTCTTCCACACGAGGCCTCCAGGTAAAATCAGCCTGTTAGTCCGTCCCTCTCCAACTGCTAAGGCTTCACTTTTTCCCCAGTTCATTTTAGCAGAGGAGAGTCTATTAAAATCACTCACAGTGTCCTCCAGAACATTAATGTCACTTTGGTTTTCAATAAAAACAATAACATCATCAGCATATGCAGACAGTTTAAAACAATGTTCACACCCAGGAAAAGAAAAACCCGACAACCGTGACCTTAACTTGTGCAGAAAGGGCTCTATGGCCAGCGCATATAACATGCCTGACAAAGAGCAGCCCTGTCTGACTCCCCTCTGGACTCTGAATGGAGCTCAAACCACCATTAATCTTAAGTACACTTTCAATGTCATTGTACAAGACCTGGATCTTGGCTATGAGACCAGAGCTGAACCCAAAAGCCTGCAATGTCCGCCACAAGTACTGGTGCTCAACTCGGTCAAAAGCCTTTTCTTGATCTAGAGAAATCAGACCAAGCTCACAGCCCAAAGAACCAGAGAGGTTCAAAATGTCCCCAATCAGAGTAATGTTGTCAGATATCAACCTGCCGGGTACACAGTATGTCTGGTCTACGTGAATGACCTGCTCCATCACTTTTCTCAGGCGAACTGCCAATACTTTAGACAACAGTTTATAGTCCGTGCAAAGTAAAGAAACAGGACGCCAGTTCTTAATGTCCTGCAGGTCTCCTTTCTTTGGGAGGAGGGTGAGCACAGCTCTCCTGCAGCTCAGAGGCAACCTCCCTGTTCTCAGACTGTCCTGGAGAACCAACAACAGGTCCTCGCCAATGACGGACCAGAAAGTCTTATAAAAGTCTGCAGGAAGACCGTCAATCCCAGGAGCCTTCCCGCTCTGCAGACTCTGCAGGGCCTCCTGCAGCTCCTGAGCAGAGAGCTGCGCCTCCAGCTCTGCATTGTCCCCCTCAGAGACCTTAGGAAGGTCCACCAAGAAGGACAGCGCCACCTCTGGTTCTTCTTGGAACTCCGCCTTGTAGAGCTCCTGATAAAAACCGACAGCACACTGACGGGTCTGAGCCGACTCCTGCAGCAGCTGCCCAGTGTCAGACCGCAGAGAGTGAATCAGCCTCCTCTGACCGTTCTTACGCTCCAGACCAAAGACAAAGTGAGAGGGAGCATCCATTTTTACCACGTTCTGGAAACGAGATGGAACCAGAGCACCCTGTGCAGAAATACCCAGCAGGTCAGACAGAGCTGATCTTTTGCCTTTGAGAACTTGAATGTGTTCTCGTTCTCCTGTGGAGTCTGCTAAATCCTGCAGCTCCACCACTTCTCTCTCCAGAGCTCTCATAGATCTGGACATGTCCTACAGTACACTTTCAATGTCACAAAGTTGTTTGACCAGCTCACCAGCTCTTTCTCTAAAAGCTCACTTCTCAGGAAAGGGGGCAGTTTGGAAATGATGATCTTTTTAGCAGGAATTACAAATGAGGACTCTAATTATGACTCCACTCTCAAGCAGCTGATTTACTTTGTCTGTGCTGTCCAGAAAAATCACAACAGCACAGTTCATTCTATGTGCAGATTAGACACTTTCATACCCAACAATCTTAGCTACAGCTAGACTACACTCTTCAACCGAACACCCGACAGCCAGAAAGGATCTGACGGCGTGTTAGTTGCTTAAACTGGAGCTCAAGGGTTTTGGGCTCTTGCGGCGCGTTAGCCCTCGTCAGCCACTGTCACTCGAGGACACCTTACTACACAGTAAGAGATAAAATGCAAGTACAAGGTATAAAATACAAAATAATGGGAATAAATGTAATTGGACTCAAATAAATATGATTAATCACTGATGTGACTTTTGAGGTGGGATTTGAAAACAGGAAGA